CTCCTGTTCAAAAGTCAACTCCAACATTTAAACCAGAACCTACTCCTCAAATAAATCGTAAAACTCCTGCGTTTCCTTACTGAAAAAATAACGTTATTTTTATTTTATTTGAACATTTTATTTAGAGTAAAATGACGACTAAAGTCACTGAAGCAATGAAACAAAAATTTTTGGTAGAATACATTAAATCAGGAGCGGTTCCAGAAGGTTTTTACGTTCATACTATGAAGGATGGTAGAGTTCAGTTTAGAAAGATAAAGCAACCATTAGATAGAGAAGGTATATTAAGGAAGATTAAACTTCATGAGGACAACATTGCTGAACTTAGGAAGAAGTTAGAAGAGTTGGAGAAAGCAGACGACAGTGAGGAATAAAATATTTCATTAGTTTTATTTTTATTGAAAATTTTTATTTGGATGTAATGACGAAAACTATTGAGATAACAAACTACAACGGTCATGAGTTCAAGAATTTGTTCTTCGTTCCTCGTGAAAATACATTCTATCAGATACGAGGGAGAAAGGGTAAAGTTAGTTTGAGCGTTTATGAAGGAATGAAGAATGGAAAGTTTATACAAGCATACGATACAAACGGTAAACGTGTTTCATTAGCTTTGTCAAAAAACTTACTAACATTTATTTTGACAGTGATTTTGACTCTGACGATTGGAGCGACAGCAAGCGATACTGAAGAATATGAACTATTGTGTGAAGCACAGCAATGGGAAGAGTTGCAATACTTTTGTAAGTGAGAACGTTTATTTTTACAGTAGTAAGGTGAAGTGGTTGGCGGCTTTATAAATATTTAAGGTTAAGTTAGTGTTGTCGTTTGTGTTGTAAAATATACGTTAACGGTTTTGTAAAGTGTCAAATTCACAAGTATTGTGTACGGAGGAACGCAGTGCCTCAGTACACGAGATATGTATACTAACTAATTTTATAAAAAAATAGCGTTATTTTTACATTATGACACGAAGTGAAGATTTGCACTTCGTCAAAAATAACAGTTATAAAATGAAAAAGTGTCATTTTTTTTCATGTCCGAAGACTCGAAGGTGCAACACTTCCAAAATACCGACGAACTCAGAAGAGCAGCATGGCAGTATCTTCTTGACAACTTCTTTGAGTTCTCCAGGTACACCTTGGAAAATGCTGAAGAACTCCGACACAGAGAATTTGGAGAAATTGCGCTCCAATACTACCTTGACAAACAAAGGGTAAAATAAGACTAAAAACTTAACGTTTAAAAAGTGACATTTTTAATGAGCTCCGAGTCACCGAGAAAACTTGGTCAGATGTTAGCAGCTTACTTCCCTGAGGAGGATGGAAGCGTTACATACGTAAGGTTCAAAAACAACGAACCTGGAATTGCGTACCAAATTCGCAATTACATGACCATGGAAGAGTACGAAAGGTTCCTACAAGAGAAACCAGCTCTAAACAACTCAGAAAAGAAAGAATAAAAAGTTTAACTCGTAATTGTTTATTTTTTTTACTTGTATGGGCAAGCTGCAAGAATGAAGTCGACTATCTCAGTCTTTGTCTTGACCAGTTGGACGGCTCTTGTGAGTATGTCTGTTTTGCGGTCTCCAGCTGGTGTCTGACCTTCGTAATTGCGCATGTTCTTGAGAGCTCCAACTGTAAATGGTTGTAGGATGAAGAGTCTCTCAGACTGCTTGAGGTAGTCTTCACGGTCACGAACCGAATCTGTGGTACGAGTCGAATCGGTCGATTTGAGGGAAGAGAGTGAGAGCCTGTCTTCTTCCATTGGGGTAGTAGCATACTCTTTGCGTAAGCGGTTCAGACCTTCCTCGAACTCTTGGTCTCTCTTGGATTGAGATTGAGATTGGAATTGCTGGGGTGGAGCTTGCTGGAACATCCAAGGGTTGGGGAAGTAAGGCATAGGCTGAGGAGGGTAGTTCGGGAAGCCTTGTGGTGGGTAGTAACCTTGAGGTGGAAATTGGTAGTAAATCGGAGGTACTTGCTGGAACTGAGGTGCAGGGGCTGGTGCTTTAGGTTCCTCTGGTTTGGGAATGGACTGGGTTGGTGGTACGTCGGACATTGTCTTGAAACAGTACAAATATTGTTCTGAAGCAGTGCAAGTCTTGTTCTGAAAAAGTACAAGTATTGTTCTGAAGCAGTGCAAGTATTGTTCTGAAAAAGTACAAGTATTGTTCTGAAGCAGTGCAAGTATTGTTCTGAAAAAGTACAAGTATTGTTCTGAAAAAGTACAAGTATTGTTCTGAAACAGAAAATTTTTCTCACAAATTGAGAGCTTTTACGGGAAATTTGTTCTGAAACAGGACAAGTATTGTTCTGAAAAAGTACAAGTATTGTTCTGAAACAGTACAAGACTAGTTCTGAAACAGTACAAGTATTGTTCTGAAAAAGTACAAGACTAGTTCTGAAACAGAACAATGGACAACATCGAGCCATTAGATGAGGCAATTTACCTTATAGAGATAAATGAAGTTGTTAAGCAGTACTTGGGCAAGGACAAAAGCAACAAGTCCCTCGGCTGCTGGTTGTCTGGAAGAGGTGCGCTGAAAATCGAAATTGAAACCGGAATTCCAATTCAAATACCAGAAAACACTCCTGTAGACGACATAAAGGAGATGAAGAAAGAAGCTCTTCTCAAGTTCTTTGCAAAGCGCCCATGGATACAACTTCCAAACAGAGAGAGTCCAATTCCACGAATTATACAAATTCTCAGAGCACTGTTCCACTTCTCAGGACGGCCGTTCTTCATAACCTCAGAAGGCGACATCCAACCAGTTCAGTCAACCTTAACGTTTTGAGTAAAAACATTTTTTTTCATTTTTTGAATGAAGCAAGTTAAATTCGTCCCACACCAATCTCAATGGACCGATGAAGAGTTTCAAGCCATCGTTGAAGACGTTGAGAACGACATAGACGGCGAACTTGAAGGAGCTCAAATCACAATTGCAACCAAAATTGCAGGAGTCAAGGAACAGATAGCTCCACTTAAAGCTACCAAAGCTACTCTTGACCTCATGGATAGTTACCGTTTAGATGTCAAGAGTGGAATAAGACAATTAAAATTAAAACTTCTAAACTACGAAGCTATACTCCAAAAGTTAGCAGAAATGAGAAGACTTTACCAGAGCTACTTACATGTAAGGGACTTACCTTCAAGCAGTCCGACCAAAGATGAATTTGTTGACATTGTCCCAATTTTGTCCGAAAGTCAGCTCAGATGTTTCGAACTGCTCCCAACATATCCGGAATATGAACGTTTGCCTGAACTCTTCCGCAATCTCAAAAAACGTTTTTTGGTTCTCATGTTCCAAACTTTTATCGGAAGAGACAACAAACGTTCAGAAGAAGAACAAGATATTATTTTAAACTTGTTGTATGACATAACTGTCATAACAAGCTTTTTGAAGTAAAACCGCCATTCTCAAACCACTTCATTTTTTCGATGTCCGAACAAGCACCGAAGCCGAACACAATGGCAGATGTCCTTTCAAGGTTGCCAGACAAGCGCCCAGTTCAAATTCAAATTGCCCAATTGAACGCTCATCTGACAAACTCCATTAAGACTCTCCAAAATAGTCTTATGTTAGAGATAACCAATCTCAAAGCCAATGTCCTCACGAACCAAGCTTCCAATGAGAAAGTCCTGTACGAGTTCGCGGAAACCTTGCGCCAATACAACATAGAGAACCAAAACCTTGCCCGACTCATCTACCGTTTCTTCGAAGAGATAGACGCCATCTGGAAGGTACTCGGAAAGGACAGAACATGCAACACAGTACTTCGTGAACACAGAATTGCCGAAGGTATTATCAAAGAAGAGGAAGAAGAGGAAGAAGAGAAACACGAAGAAGTTCCTGAAGCCGCTACATGGGCAACCCTTGTTGCCGATGACGCTTACGAAATTTCCCAACCCTACCCATACAAAATCCGCAACAAGGAGACAGGCAAGGTTCTTACCCCAGTCCTCAACAACTTGGGACACTTGAACCTTAACCTTCGGAATTACGGTTCAATTTCCATGGGAAGGCTTGTCGGTATGCAATGGGTTCCAAATCCAGACAAGAAGACGAGGGTCAGACACATTGACGGTGACAAGCTCAACAACCGTAAGGAGAACCTCGAGTGGTTCTAAGAGTAAAAAAAATTTATTTTAGGGGGAAACCCCAAGTAAATTTAGGTGTTTATTTGGATAAGTATGTTAAATTAAGGGTAATTTGCAAAATTAGTTCCCGACCTTTGAATTGGGCTCTTTCGTTATCCCAGTTGCGTAGGAGGTCGTCCCAGAGGAGTTGGTAGAATTGCCAATCCAAGGACGATTTGTCCTCCCAGGCATTGAGGATGTACTGCTCGTAGAGTTTCATGACCTCTGCCTTGCACCAGACACCCTCTCCCTTGGAACGTAAGGCTTCTTCGAAGTGCTCGAATGCGATTGGCTGCTTGACCATCCGAAATGACACTTTTTGTCCGTTTGGTCAATGTTTGTGTCTCGTGCCATAGTCGACGAAAATACAGACAAACAGGTTATATATGAGTTTGAGACCAAGAATGGTGTAACTCGACCTGTCCGATTCAAAGACTCCGAGGGCGACCATGAAATTAAACGGAAATTAGCTAGGAAGGAATATAAAATGGACTGGTTGCCACCACCTCCACCTCCACCACCTTTACCTGTTCCTCAAGTAAATAAGCCTTTCCCGTTCCCAAAGAATTCCCACATTTTAATTCAAATTCGAATAAAAATTTTTTATTTCATGCAATGTTTTATTTCTGTGCCGTCTTCAAGTATGCCCCAGTACTTACGCTTGGAGAGGACATGAACTTCGGTGAAAATTTTGTCCAATTTGAATTGACCCATCTTTTCACCGACCATGCCCATTTCAATGAGTTTGTTGTACCTTCTTCGTTCGTCATGAGTGCGTCAATGTTCTCATAGTAAACCTTCACTTTGGATTTGACTTCGGAGAAGAATTGTTGTAGTTGTCAAGGACTGCCTTTGCGAACTGAGGGTAAGACCAATGTTCGACAATAGGTTTTAATGTGGTTACTAAGCCACTTTGACCTTGAGTGAATTCGTACTTCAAAACAAAAGGAGAAAACCTTTCAACAAAGTTGTCGACCTTCTCATAATGTTTACTCTTCATCTCTTGAGGTTTCTTAATGGAATATCCCCATGTCGAATTCATAAGCAATTTGAGTGTCATTGCAAGTTTGGGGTTTGAAGCTTTCCTAATATCATACAGTTGTTGTATGACTTTTCCAACTGTATAGTTCCTTCCCGGGAACTCACCATCTTCGTTTGGAATTCCAGTCGGAATATATTGGACAAACCTCATGTATGCAGCGTTAAGGTCGACATAGTATATCTTTTCGTTTGAATCGAACTTGTCGCAACCAATTGGTCCAGTTTGTGGAAATTCAAGTGAGTCTCTTATCTTCTGAGAAACTTCTCCTGTTATCTCATAAACATCGTCGAAGCAACCTGTTTCATATAAAACCTTCTGACCTAACTCAGATGCTCTCCAATACAATTTGACGTCAATTGGATGTCTCAATGGAAGTTTGTTTATAGCATCTTGAAGTTCTTGCAACCTCATTGGAAGTTCTTCTGGTTCAGGTTGGTATCCGAACAATCCAACTCCTTTTGGAATTGTGTACTTCTTTTGTACTAGAACTTTGTCTGGAACAACTTTTGGTCTTGCTAACAATGAAAAGTTTGTTTCGTCTTTTGGTACAAAACTTTCTGTAAGCTTGTCATCTGGAATTGGTTCCAACAAACCTTTCTCGAAAAGAATGTTTACAGCTCTGACAATGTTGCACTTGCCTTTTCCGAACAATGGGTTTGTAAGACTTTCGTTCAACATGAAGTGGTTGTGGACAATTGCAATCTTCAACCATGGTAAATTGAACTCAACAACATAGTCGTCATGTGAAGAACCTTTAGCTGTAGGTATGTTGACTCGGATATTGACATTTGCCAACGGTGCAATTTTTGCCAATTGACCTCTGAGAATGTACCTTGTCTTCACACATGACTCAAGATACTTCATCTTCTCATCTGTAACAAGACCAGAGTTCCTGAGACATGTAAGAATGCAAGGTTCATTGACAATTGTTTCAATTGAATTGTAAATTCCATACCTTGTCAAGTCAATGTCAGACTTATTTATGAACGGAAAGTATCCAGCATGTTGTCTGACTGCTTGAGGGTTAGGTACCATTCGAACTTGACACTTGCAATTCCTTCAATTGCATTCAAAATGTCTGAGTCGGAGTCAACCATTTGTTCTCTCTTTGTAGTCTTGAAAGCGTCAAGAAGTTTTGCAGCTGTTGTGACATTGCCATTTGCATAGTAAATGTGACCATCCAAATCCGTTATGGTCAATCTGAGATTGTATCCTTTCTTATTTCCGTCTTGAATTGCAGCAAGTACACCCATGAAGCCTTCTTTGTTCTTTCCTTCGTCAAAGTTTACTGTAAAGGTTCGACCAGATGTAATTTGACTTCTAACTTCACGATACTTTTCATATGCATATCTTGTTCTTTCCATGGGAGCATGTGTGTCTTCACCTTTTCCTTTTTTCCTTCTCAAAGGATGCAATTGTTCGTCATGTTTCCAGTAGAATCTGGCAAAGCCGTCGTGTCCTTCAACTTGAGGTTCACTAACATCGAAAGGCATGTCCATAAGACGTTCTTCTTCTAACCTCTCTAGTCTGTTTGGATAATTTGCACGTGCTGTTTCCAAATCCATTTCGTAGGTCAGACCAGCCAGTTTGTCATAGACTTTTATGGGTCTTCCCTTCCTATATTTAAACTTCTTCGAAACTCTCCAACCATATCTTTGCAACTCTGCTTTTATTCTAGCAGATTTTCTATCCATTCTATATGGGGGCATTTTTATAAAAATAAAAAAATATTTTTTCTTTACTTTACATAACCGCCTGCTGCCATAAGTCTTTGACGCCAACCCATACCAGCTAATGAAGGTTGACTTGGTTTAGTTTCCAAACTAAACTTTGGTTTTGGTTTATCTTCAGTTTTTGGTTTTTCTTCTTCTATCGGTTTTTCGTCACTTTTCGGTTCCTCTGACTTTACCTCACCTGCAGGAACAGTTGTGTCGTCAACATCTTCATAAATATCATATGCCATTTGTTTTTGTTTTCCTTTCAACTTTTTGTGTTTGTTGTAAAGTTTAGAATATTTCGACTCTAAGTCAATGAGATGTTCTATAATGAACTGTTGGTCAGTGAAGTAAACTTTTCCATCTGTTGTCTCGAAAGCTCCTTCAGACTTCAATATTTTATTTGTGAGAGTCTGTTTCTTTTTTGAGATACTTGCCGTTCCATTTTTATGAAAAGTGACTTTGTAGTTAGGGTTTGTATTTCCAGACCTGGCACTTTCTATTATTGAATTTTTCTCTTCATCTGTAAGTTCTTTGACAGGTTTTGACAATGGTTCTGAACTTTTTGTTTGTGGTGTCAAATCTACCGTTTCAACTTCTTCGGTCATTTCATCTCAGTAAAAAATTTTAGTTTGGTTTGTTTTCAACTGGTTGTTGTTGTTTTTTAAGTCGGTCTAAAACTTCCTGAGGTATAGGAAGAACTTGACAAACACGTTGTGTAACTGCTGGAAGCCGACAAATCCATCTTGAACCCATTTGTCTCAATGCTGTATTGTTCATTTCATCTCAGTAAAAAACTTTACATTCCCCACGTTTGAGGCGGTTGAGGTTGGTTATTGTTTACCCACTGTTGTGCATGGTTATATCCTCTGTTAAAGAATCTTTCACCTTGGTCCATATAGTGTCCTGCTTGGTTATAGTAGTCATTTGCTTTGTTATAATAGTTTCCTGCTTGTTTTCCTACATTGTCCATCCATCCTTGAACTTTTCCTCTTGTTTCAGGATTTGGAATAAGATTTGTTGCATCTCGTGCTACATCCCAACCTTTCTGTACAGTTTGTATAATAGGTTGTGCTTTCTCTTTAAGTATACCTAATGTACTCAAAATCTTCCTTCCAACTCCAAATACACCTCTGGCTATTGTTCCCACTGCGGGCAAAAATCTGGATGCAACTCCTGCTAATGCGCCAAATAAACCCATTTCTTATAGGATAAAAAATGACGAATCCAAACAAGGACCCCTATGTTTCTAAAGCGACAAAGAAAGCACTCATGATAAAAATCTTTAGTTCAACACCAAATGCTTGGTTTATGGATATCTTGGAAAACATTCCGAGGTATAGAGAAGATGGACCACCATACTGGTTAATATTTGTTGGTCAAAACACAAGATACTGTGAAGCCATACCATTACAGTCCAAAGCTATTTTAGATATCTTAGCAGCTTTGACAATATTCGTTGACAAATACCATCCAACAAAACTGACATCTGACTGTGAAAGTTCTTTCAAATCAGATGATGTAAAAAACTATCTGCGTTCAAAAAATGTAAACCAATATTTCATTGTCGACCAAAACCATTCTGCTCTTGGTGTCATTGACGGTTGTATAAAAATGTTAAGAGACTTAAACCAACCACAAGGTGGTGAAGCAAATGAAATGTCATATGACGACAAATATAGACACTTCTCCATGGCAAAGATGAGACAAGTTTTAAATATTTACAATAACCGTAAACAAAAAGGTTTGGGAAACCACTCCCCCGAAGAAATGAAAAACAACCCTGACTTAGAGAAAGACTATATATTTAATAATTTAGTCAAAAGAGACAAACAAGAAAGAATGCCGGGCTTCAAACTTCAGAAAGGTGACAAAGTAAAAATAGAAATACCTAAACGCGACCCATATGAAAATACTATTGACTATGACAACAATGGGAACCCGACAGGTACTCACATTCGTGTTCGTAAAAATAGAAGAAAGTATACAAGAGAATATTATGAAGTTTTAGGCAAACATGGCAAAATGTACACACTGCAAGCAGAAGATAAAACTACTATTGTCAGACCTCGTTTCAAACTTGTCAAAGTTCAAGGTGGTATACTTTCAAAGACAGTTCCTAACAAATATAAGACAACTCCTGACGAATATGCTAAAGAAGTTGAAAATGACGACTAAGCAATTCTATACCATGCGTAAACTGTCATGTAAGGTGGCATGTATTCTTTACTTTGTCCCGTTGTTTGCGTATATCCTGAAACGAAATGTGTATGGTTTCCTTCTCCCTGAGTGTCACTCCAGTAACAATTTATAGCAAACTTAACGTCGTCTTTAACATCATATCCTTTACCTTTTGTCATTGCTGACCAATCCCAATATCTATGCTTATGCCAACCTGCTTGAGATGTACTTAAATCTATGTAGTGACTGTGTGCAGGTAAATTTTCACCTGAAATCGTTTTACTTCCACCTGTTTCCTTTGAAGAGTTTGCACAATACAAAAACCTGTCGACTATTTGTTCCCATGCACCAACACCAAACATTACTTGAGGACCTCTTGCTTCCATAGATGTATAAATAGAACCTACTGGGTTCATTAAATCAAACATATGAGACATTATAGGATTGTCTCTTTTGAACTTAAAATATAGTGCAACTATTTCAGTTTTCTTCTGGTTTGTGTCAGAATATTTTTTATAATATAATCTTATGTTTTCAGGGTAGGTAAAATCTTGACTATAATATTTATTTCTGTCATCTTCATAATAGTATACTATTCTCGTTTTTTCTATTGCATTATATCTTTTATATCTATAATAATCTAAATATAATGTTAGCTTTTGTTCATCTACATGTGGTGTTCTGACGTCATCTCCATAGTCATAATAATATGGTGCTGGAGCTGGGTCAGGCAATGTCATATCTGTCATTTCATAAACTCTTAAATATTTCTTTTGTTCGTCTCCATATAAGTTTAAGTAGCAGTTGTTGTCTAATGGAACTTTAACTTGTGTACCATCATTCTTTTTATAGCTTACATACATTTCATTGTTATTTTTCGGAATGAGTTTACACCGTGTACCATTTTCTAAGGACTGTACAAACTGCCATCTAAAATATTTATTTTCTTCATTGACAGAAAAGTCACCAACAATAGTTTCAATATTTTTTGTTCCTATCAAACTTTGGTATATTTCATTGACATATGTTTTATCTGCTTTATTTTCAAGGCTAACGTTTAAGTCTGTTATTTCAGAAGATGTATGTGTATGTCCAACGGCACTTTTCCTGTTTAAGGTTTCTTGTAAGTTTGTAATATTTGCAATGGTATGTGTATGTCCAACGGCACTTTTACTGTTTAAGGTTTCTTGTAAGTCTGTTATTTCAGATATAGAATGTGTATGTCCAACGGCACTTTTACTGTTTAAGGTTTCTTGTAAGTCTGTTATTTCAGATATAGAATGTGTATGTCCAACGGCACTTTTCCTGTTTAAGGTTTCTTGTAAGTTTGTAATATTTGCAATGGTATGTGTATGTCCAACGGCACTTTTACTGTTTAAGGTTTCTTGTAAGTCTGTTATTTCAGATATAGAATGTGTATGAGTCTTTTTAGAATATTCGTTTTCAGCTCTCGTCACTTCACTTGACATTTTATTGTCAACATATGTTTTGTCTGCTAGTTCAGGATGAGTATGTTCTTTTGTTGCATAAGCATTGTTAGCTCTTTCTTCTTCTTTTGCTATTGCATCGTCTACATATTCTTTGTCAGCTTTGTTGTCAACATCTGTTTTCAAAAGAAGTTCATTTATAGGTTTCTCGTTTAAAGTTCCTTTTGTTGGATTTATACAGACAGTATGGTTCTTATTGTCTTGAAACAGAAACTCATCTGTCATTGGGTTTAATGTCAGTTTTAAGTTTCCTTCTTTCAATGACTCAGATATCTTAGAATAGTTTGAAAAGTTTGTTGTGTTCTTATTTAGAGCTTGCATAATGAGTTGTCGGTTGTGTTGTATTTCTCTCATAGACGCTGTTTCATTTGACATTTTTATTCTAGATAAAATATGCTTTCAATAGAAAAAGAAAATTCAAGAGTTGCTACAACTAAACCATTAGATGAACTTTTTACTAATGTCGGTCAAAAGTTTGAGACAGAGACCGTAAAGCATGAAGGCTATCGTTTTGACTACCCATTAAGATGGCTAAGAGACCCATCTGTCACAAAAGCTATTGGCTTTCGTAGAATGAAGTTCATTTCAGAAGCCATACATGGTTTCCCATTTACGGTCGGTTTTGAAGTTCGATACTATAACAAAGAAAAACGTATGTATGAGAAATTTGAACAGGGAAAACTTTTACAAGTTAGTTTGCTTGTAAACTTAGAAACAACTCTTCAAGCTTTTCAAGAAAAAATAAACGATATCTATATCGAATATGCAAACCAGTATAACATTGACGAGGGAGAGTACCATCTCGATATTATTTATGACAGGAAAAATGCAACTGTTAAAATCAATAGAATAGAAGACCTTGGAGAAAACGTTTATATTTCTACAAAATATAACAACTTGGCATGGTATAGATTTATGAGGATGTTAAATCAGCCTGCAGCATATCCAGTACACCCAGACTTTTATGAAGTCGAAAACCCTAATGGAACATATGAAAATGTTTTCGACCAAGATGCTATTATTGTTCATGCTTCATTTTCTGGCGCCCAAAACTCTTTCTTATGCTTGGCAAATGACTTTTACGAAAAACCTACAAAGTTATACGAACCACCAAGTGGAAGTATTTCAGACTTTCAAGTATGGTTTACTACAGATGGAAGAAAAAGAATAATTCCATTATACCACGCGTTTTACTTAGAACTTAGTTTCATATACAACTACTATCGAACGGTAAAAATATAATTTTTTAATACGGTTGAGGTGTTGGATTTGGTTGCCAACTAGACTGTGGTGCAGGTTCAGGCTGTTGTATAACAGGAGCTTGTTCTTCTGGTTCAGGGTCTTTAGGTATAATACCAACAAACTGACCTACTCTTTTACCAATATTTTTGACACCGTTCCAAATTCCTCTTCCTACGGTTTTTATTCCATTCCATATACCTCTTCCAACATTTCGAAAGAAGTTTCCTATCTTACTGAAGAAACCCATTTTACTATATGTAAAAATCTAATGTCCGCCTAGTCTCTTACGTTTCCTGTTGAGTTCCATAGCATTCTTTAACTGGAGCTCATACATTCTGTTTCTCCTCTGGTAGAAAACATATTCTGGGTCAACTCCTGTGTTCGCGTCATCTGCATAAAGTTGTTTATATCCCACTTCAGGGTTTGTATAAAACTCTTTCCATCTCATATTTGCATACCATGGTGGCAAACCTAACGCAGCGTCATTTGACATGGCAGTTTGCATTTGTACATCTGTTGGCACTTGACCATAGTTTGCCATTGCAGTTTGTATTCTAACTTCATTTGGAATATTCTCTGGGTTTGGTTGTCCAGGTTGCTGTGCATTCGCTAAGTTCTGTGCGTCCATTTAATATTAGATAAAAATATCTCTTACGAGTACATATACTGAACATTTGCAGGCATTGGTTCATCTTCATATTCTCTGTACTTTTCTGCCACGTCAAAGAAATAAATGACACAATGGAAAAAACCTAAAACAAGTAGTCCTATTTCAAACCACATTTACTTACTAATAAAATTTCTTTGTTATGACACTTTCTCCGGTTTATAGGACCTCTCTCATATTCTATCTTGTCATATCTAAACTCATAGTCATGTATGTCCTCTAACAATTTCATGACACTTTCTAAACCACTTTTATCGGATGTAAAGTAAAAGTATGGACAGTTATGTAAAACGTCTAAAGTTTCTAAAGAGTCTCTCAAAGTCCAGTCTACTTGGTATTGAAAATCCCATGTGTTATAGAACGGCGGGTCCACTATAAAGAAAACATTTTCCTTGTCTTTATATTTTTCATACAACTCTGTCCAATGACATCTCACAAACTCTATACCCTCAATATATTTTTCTATGTCCTCTTTGAAAACATTTGTATAGTTAAGATATAAAACTTTTGACATAAGTGTTTCAATGTCATGAACTCTTATAGCACCACTATATAATAGTCTAGCAGATATACTATCCCAGTCTATATATTCTGCTTTTTTCAAAACCTCTCTCACAATATTTTTCTTATCTAATGGTATACGTTCCATCTTACCTATAGGTATCTTTTCTTTTAACTCTTTCAATATATTGTTTGTGTCTGGAATATGTTTGAGACGGTCCATATAGTTGTCGAAGTCATTGCATATAATCTTTGAGTCAGGAAATATTGTATGGCACAAATGGGATATATAGAAACTTCCACCGAACAAATCTACAAATGTTAGACCATTCGGTAGTTTCTTAAGTTCTCTCAATATAATATCTTTACATTTACTCTTATTTCCAAAGAACGGTAACGGAGGTTTTGTAAAATTCATTTATATATAATAATAAAAATGTTTTTACCCGAAAAGTGACAGAAAAGTGACAAAACATGAAAACATATATAATTTGTGAAAAGCGACACATTATATAATGTTTTCGACCCAGAAGAAGGCTTCTTCCCAGAAGCAATGGAGGAAGAAGAAGAGTCCTCCGAATTCACACCAGAAGACTAACAATTTTCCGAATAAAAACTTCATTTATACTAAACATCTTCGGGGCTAGAGGGCACGAAGTGCCTGGAAGCCCCACTACCTTTTTTTTTTTTTTTTTTTTTTGTTCATGAAGTTAAATTAAGATTTTTCTTACATTATTACAAGCATGAAGCTTTTTGTCAGAGTGAAATAAAAAAAGTTTAATGATATGTAGCGTAGATGTATATAGTTGCAACAATTCTTTAGGCAAAAAAATCAAATTTGATATAATATAATTTCAGGCCTCAGTTGGCCAGGTTTGCCCTTCGAGCAAGACCAGCCAACTTCGGCAAAATAAATATATTATGATTATAGGAAATGAGTTTATACAATTAAATTTGAATTTGTGCGATTAATATTATATTTCAAAGATTATTATGTAAAACATATGAGAGATTTTTATATCCATCGAAGTGGTTTAGAGAATACTTTGAGATTTTAGAGATTTTTCGAAAGAAATATTGAAAGCAAAGCATTTATTAAGAATTTGTTGTGAAATGAATACACATCGATGAGATATTACATCACCTTGTTACTTGGCAAAATTAGAGCGCGATTAACCTTATATATATATCATCTATATAAAGCGCAGCTTCGCGCCGATAGATGAATGAAAAAAAAATAATTTTTCAATTTGAGCGATAATACATGGATATGCATGGTATTTTTACAAACAAAAATAACAATACATGGTAAATTAACGCTTCCCAGAAGAAGGCGAAAACCTTCTAACTGGTATTGTGTTGGATTTGGCCGGAATAACTCTTTCGCATGAACATCTTGGTCTGACGATAACCTGTCTTAAGCTGAGAGTAGCTGTAAGGATGTTCTTTCTTAAGCCTGGCATGCCTGAAAATGAATTGAAATAAGGCATTTGTAAAATCTCGGAGATAGAAGGTCTATCTTCTGGATTTATAGCCAAGCATTTAGAAATGATCTGTCTAAGAAGTGGATTTCTGACGGCAAATATTGGATAATTACCTTCATCGATAAGCTTCAATAATAAACTACCATTTGCTGCAATGAATGGATATGTTCTTGTAGCCATGAAAAAGAATGTGATGCCAAGTGACCAAATATCAGCTTTGATTGGATCAAACTTAATTTTTCTAAGGATTTCTGGTGCCATGAAAAGCATTGTTCCTTTGAATGAAGAACAAAGCTCATGATCGCAGTATATGTTTGAGAGACCGAAATCGCAAACTTTGATTCTTCCATACTTGTCGATTAAGAAGTTTGATGGCTTGATATCGTTATGGGCAACATTTTTTTCGTGGCAAGCATTGATTGCAGCGAGGATGTCATGGATGTATCTTGTTAAGGTTTCATCATTGATATCTTCATCGCGCTTAAGTATCTTTAAAAGATCGAATGGGCAGTATTCCATGCAAAGATATACGTAATCTTTAAAAAAGTAGTAGTTGTAAAGATTGATTATATTAACATGGTCAACTGTTTTCATGCAATCGATCTCTGCTTGATTAAATCTCTTTATTGGTACTTTCTTTAATGCAAATTTTTGGTTATATTTTGATGAATAGAGTAAGTATATTTCACCAAACCCACCCTTTGCAATTTCACTCTCGATAACAATGTCGTGGGACTTTAAAAAGTTAATTTCTTCCTCATTCATCTAAGAAAAATGATTTACAAAAAATTAGAAAATCAAAGAGGAGTAGGGGTAATTTTAGCTAAAAGTAACACGCCTGTGAAGGGTGTGATTACCGATCGGTAATTTCGACAGTTTAGAATTTAAAATTTTTTATGGAACTGTTGCGAGTTTCATAAAGAATTTAAGGAATATAAGCAAAGATTTGAATCAAAATCTTAGACCTAAGCCGCTCGATTCGCTCGCGGCTTCCGCGAATTACAGATCAGCAAAGATTTGAATCAAAATCTTAGACCTAAGCCGATCGCTTCGCTCGCGGCTTTCTTTATTATTTTAAATTTGAGTGGGGGACAAACTCGCCCATTGTCACTTTTTCATTAACCTTAAACTTGTAATTTTCATTATTTTTAATTAACCTTATTTCTTTCCCAATTCCTGATTTATTTTATTCACTTACTATTAAAAGTCACATTTTAATAAAATATAATAATTTATTTATAGCATTTTTTACTATACTGTAATAAAAAATTAATTATAATAAATTAAATGTTTATTAAATCAAATGTTTTCTTTGCAATAATATTTTTAATGTTGAGTAAACAATGTTGGGATCAAGTGTATCATTTTTCAGACCTTTCTGAACAGCTTCAAGCATACTGATGCATTCGACTTTTTTAAATTGTGTCATTTCTTCGAAATCTCTTGTGACTTTTTTGATAACTTTAACACTTCTCTCTGAATCCAGACCTTTAATTTGCAACTTAATCAGGAATGAAGGAACAACACTGGAATATAACTCGATGACAAGTTCATCGAGTCGAAGATTTGGTTGTACACCACTTGTATGTGCCGGATACCATTGTGTCAAATTTTTTCTGAAATTAACTTTAAAAGTACTAAGTAAGATCATGAGATATAGCAATATATGTTTAAACCAACTTATATTTTGGTTGTACACCACTTGTATGTGCCGGATACCATTGTGTCAAATTTTTTCTGAAATTAACTTTAAAAGTACTAAGTAAGATCATGAGATATAGCAATATATGTTTAAACCAACTTATATTTTGGTTGTACACCACTTGTATGTGCCGGATACCATTGTGTCAAATTTTTTCTGAAATTAACTTTAAAAGTACTAAGTAAGATCATTTATTTTTGCATAATATAATGCCAATATGGTTTCTTTTGATTTTATTTCATTTATAAGCAAATCAGATTTACCCAAAAACTCCACTCCATAAGCGTTCATTTGCTAAATTAAAAAGTGACAATGGGCTAGTCTGTCCCTTTCTCTTTTAAATTTGCATATTTCCATCAAAAGTTCATAAGGTAAAAAATTTCGTTTATATTATTGCAAAATAAAATCTTCATTATCAAAATAATATTAAATGATAATATAATATAATTTATAAACAACTATTATTTAATAAAGTTTAATTGCCAAGGTTCATCTAATTTTTTGATTTTTAATGTTTTATGAATTTTATTTATCATGTATATATCTAATGAAGATTATATATGAAAAAAAAAAAAAAAAAAAAGGTAGTGGGGCTTCCAGGGGCTGCGCCCCTTCTAGCCCCGAAGATGTTTAGTATAAATGAAGTTTTTATTCGGAAAAATTGTTAGTCTTCTGGTGTGAATTCGGAGGACTCTTCTTCTTCCTCCTCCTCCTCTTCCTCTTCTTCGTCATCGTCGGCGTAGTGGAGGAGGACGTAGTTCATCCAAATTCTGTATGGACGTCCTGATTTGGATTTAAATGAGATGGACATATTTTGTGTGAGTGTTATTTCAGTTTCGATAAAGAGTTGGTGTGCTGGTTTGAATATATGTTCGACGTTGGAGAATTTGTGCAACTCATCTTCTCCCAATTCTGTATTGATACAGACTTCGATGAAGTCACCACTGAGAATGTCTTCACCTGTGGGCATATCCACAACAATTAAATGAACGACACAATAGTTGTGAAATTCATTAGTAGGAAATACTGTTGCAGGCGTATTATATGAGGGGAAAAATGTTTTTTCTTCCCCAAATTCATCTGCTACTTCATCTTCATCGTATCCGTTGTTAAAAGCTTTAAATTCATGTACAATTTGAGCAAATTGTTGACGGAGATTTGGTGGCATACGTAAGCAAGCTTGTAACAATGTCCTACCTTCCACACACTCAGCAAATATGGGAAGGTAGGAACATATAATGTCCGTCAATTGGTCCTGGTTGGGGACCAATTGACAGAGTTTTGTGTATGCCGTTATTGTTTCTTTAACGGTATTTGTGTAGATACGGTTATATGGAGTATTTCCCTGGTTGTTAAGGGAAAAATACTCATCCGATTGTAATTTCAATCTTGACCTCAACTCTTTGTTCGGTATTCTTTGGTCTATTCTTAGAGCTGTATTTGTTCGTGCGGGCTGTGGTTTTAAAACATTCGAGTCAAGTTTTAATTGCTTCGAATTGGATGTCGATTTGAATTGGGAGTCTTTTGAGTTCTCCTGAGCTTGGTTCTGTATTAAAGACTGAATAGCAGTGTCAGCTTCTTGTTTTTCGAGATAGTATTCTATTGAATTGGGCTTCACTGTTCGAGACGCGTACATTATGAAAAATGAACTGTTTTTTTCGGACCACTCATAGAAAAGTTTGAGATGAACCGTTTTCGTCAACGGTAACCCCCTCTATTTTTTTATTTTATTTAATAGTTACCGTTGGAAAACCGTTCCATCTCAAATATTGAATGAACTATAAACGTTTTTTGTTTTCTATATATGCTTTTTTGTCCAACGGTAAAACTTTTTGCACAACGGTTTTTGAGAGTCATCGCCGTTGACCGAGTATTTTTTTGTGCTGAACAAATAGTGTCATATAAACATCTGTCAAAAACCGTTTTTTACTTCACTTAAAATGCCACGTAAGCTACGTAAGAATATACGTAAGAGGAAGAGAGCATTGAAACATCCAATAGTAAAACTGACACCACAACAACAGTTGCAACAACAAATTATGAATGACCCCACTATGCTGCAACAAATGTCAAGCAACCCTATGCTTTTAAACCGAGTTATTGGTGCACAGAGTGGAGGTTTAAGAGCGGCACTTTTAGCGAAAATGGCAGGCTATGGTGGAGCTGCAGACGGAACAGCTTATAACCCTCAAAGTCAAATGAATTTGAGTTCACTCAAAAATCAAATAACAGATGTCAAAAAGTCAAACATAGACATACAGAAACAAATAAGTGAAAACGAAAAGAAACTAGAATATGACAGACACACAAAGAAACTCAATGAGTTAAACGTAGAGAAAAAGAAGAAAGAAGAACAACTGAAAGAACTAAGTACAGAGGAATATGCGAAAAAAGTGTCAGAAAAAGCAGCAGAAGTAGCAAAAATGGAACAAGATGTTATAAATTTGAAAAACCATACTACTCAATATAAAGTACTGAAAGATGAAGAAATAAAAAAAAGCCCTGAAGACATATATGGATAGCGATGAGTATAAAAAAGAAGTTGAAGCAAATGTAAAGGCAGAAAAACTTTTACAGTTGCAAAACCAAACCGTACAGTATGAAAACTTAGCACAAGAAAGTAAAAATAACGACGCAGCCATGCAAAAGGCAATGAAAAGCGCAGAATATATAAAAGCTAATAATGACTGGTTAGATGCCCAAGCCAACGCTAAAGCAGCCCAACTTATAGGGTCAATAAGGACAAAAATACAAGCGGATGAAGACAGTTCAAATGAAGCTTTAATGAATGCTGACTTTAAGAACGCCTTCGAAGCTCTTCATAGTAAGGTGAAACTAGTGAACGACTTCTCATCTGGAAAGAAACTGAAGTCTGAAGGTTTCGACAACGAGTTAAGAGAAGTAGCACAAAATATGACGAAAATAACAGATGCAGCAACGAGACAGGCAGTTCAAAGTGCCTATGACGCCGTTAGAGCAACTGTTGTGGAAAGTCAAGAAAAAGAGTTACAACAGACCAAAACAGACCTAGTAAATGCTTTCTTAAGAACGAAAAGTCAGGTAGGACATTATGCTGCAGATGGAACATATGTGCCAGCTGGTGGAACTTATATACCACCAAACCCTCCAAGAGAAGCACCTGCACCAGGACTACCTAAAACATTTACATCGTCACATGGACACAGACACAGGCATGCACCAAAACCAACACAAAACACTGCACCACAACCAACAGTTCAAAACCAGCACAACAACCAACAGTTCAAAACCAGCACCACAACCAACAGTTCAAAACACTGCACAACAACAACCACAAACAGAGCAAGGACATAAAAGAAGTAGAGAACAAGGAAACCAAGAATTCTTAAAAATGCTTAAGGAAGACTATGGTTACCCAGATACTCTTGACTTTAGTGACAGATATAAAGAAGCTATTAGAAAGTTCAAGGAAGGAAATACTGACCCGAACCTATTTAGCTTTATGGTTCAGCACCAAATGGGATATAATTTCAAACCTGGAAAATACAAGCTCGCTAAGGGATATGATTTAATAGCATATCATCCAAATGACATGACTGAATTTACTCCGAGATATTTGGTGTCAGAGCTAAATGATAATTCAACTATCTTCATGAAACGCGTAAAAAATAGAGACGGAACGAAAGAAGAAAGGGTTATGAATGCGGATGGCTTAATAGGGAACTTGTTAAAAACGGTCTCGGAATATATGAAATGCCAGCAGATGAGGTACAAGAAACTCCACAGGAAGAAGTTCAGATACAACCAGACATGGAAGAAATAGTTCAGCAACAACAGCTAGAAGAGCCTGAAGGAAACGAACAAGTCCCTCCTTTGGAAACTAACTTCACAGAACTAGATGAAGATTTGGAACAGCCGAAAAATCTTGACCCTCAACAAGAGTATGCGGAGAATATGGAATCTTTCCAAGAGTCTAAGAAAAATTCAGCTGACATAGTAGAAGAATATCGAAAAATGTTCGCCGACATACAAAAGACTCCAACATCAGATGAAAATATCAGCATAGAATGGAAGTACTGAAAGAAATGTACACAAATACAACAATCCTTTTTACTTACGAGCATATAACGTTCAATCTTTGGATGAACTCGGTGAAAATAAAAGGTTAAATTTCAACAAAACATATAGAAATGAAACATTGTTTAAAGTTCATTCAGAACCTAACCAATATGGAAACAAACCTACTTTTGTTTCTGCAGACTATGGAACTACAATGAGATGGGGTCATAAAGCTAACCGGATAGGTGGTTCATAACTTACAACCTCAATTCCAAGAAGTTGTAGACGCAATGGAAGTGAATGGTGAACCAGATATAGCTGGTATTTTCAGCGCGGCTTTAATTGCCATTGAAAGATATGAAAGATGCGGATATTTTGGACCAGTATGAAATGAACATGGCTGATGGAAATATAACACCTGACGTTCTAGAACATTTACTCAAGAACTACAACAGAACCATAGAGATGGTATATTTTGGTGAAGAGTTTAGAAAGAAAGTTAGGGAGACAGAAGGAAGAGAACCTATTGTACATGACCTTGCAAACGAAAGTTTACAAAATGTCATAAAAACTTACTTTGCAGACAATGAACCGAGAAGGGATGAATATTTAAGTAAACTCAAATGGACAGTACCAAATGAAATGTTAGTATTGAAAAACATGTTCCTTGACAAAATAAAACCAACTACAGAAATAAATGACGCAAGACTGAAAGATTGGGTAAAAGCTTTCCCATTCACAAAAGATATTGTTGGTAACATGGAAAGAAAACCAGAATGGCTACAAAAACATATATTTGGAAACGAGCTTATTCCATATGGACAAGCTCTGTTTGAAGAGCTTGAACCGGAAACTCAGGAAAGAGTCATACAAACAATACGCGAAGACTCAAATACAAACTATGACAAACTCTTTCTAGGATATAGGTTACCTGAGATGGGCGACCAGAGCCCAAAGGCAAAAAGGACATGGGAAATTTACAACATACTAGGTGAACATGAGGCAAAGATGCAACAACTTGAAGCAGAGGCAATTACCAAAAGCGACACCAAGAAGAAGAGAAGAGTAGAACAAAGTGAAGTAGTGAAGAACAAGTGAAAGTAGTGGCAATGAAGGAAAAAGAAGAGTTAAAAACTCAGTCAGGAAGAAAGTAAAGCTTGGTACGAGTGGGTTCTATTATGACACATAAATCCAACTATTCTATATTTTTACCCATATGAAATGTACGCCGCTCAGAATATAACGCCAACAGTTTTGGATGCCATGAATGGAAATGTTTCGAATGGTATAACGAATGCGACAATGCCATTAGAAGGTCAGAAATAGTTCCTGGAACTTACGAAATATACAACTGCTGTTTCTTATGGAAACGTAGGTGAGTTTGGTGAAGGTTCTTCAACAACAGTAGATATTGCTTGCGACAGGTTCATATAATTTCTATTGACAACTCATCTTATACGTGGAACAAGACATTGAAATAAAACCTTCTGCCAAGTTGTCTGACAAGAAAGGTTGCAATGGAATTTTCTATGTCGGATACCAATATGCTCCAGAAGTTTTCATGGGATATAAGATATATTCTAACTCTGACTTAGTTCAAACAGTAACATGGGCAAACTATGAATGGTTCGCTTTGAGAAACTCAGTACAACCAAGCTAGAGAACAAACAGACCAGTATGCAAATATTGAGAAAATAAGAAGACTTGACCCTAACGTTCCAGGAGTTTATGTTAACCTTTCTGGTTCAGATGGAACTGCTGCCACTAAAGTAAAACTGAAACTTAGAGTTCCTTTGTCATCTTTCCTCATCTTCAGGTTTTTAAGATACTTGCCAAACTGGGCAGGAAAAATTTCTATCGAACTTACTCCAAGCAAAAATAACTTAGTCATTGCACCAACACAAGACCCATTCAGCATTACAGAGCTGGAACTGGTGGAGCCAAGTTTCTGTGACTTTTGCAAAGACAAAGTTGACTTAGACTTTGGTTTCTCAAACTTCAACAATGAAGTAAACTATTATTTCAATGCTGCTGAACTGCTTGGGACCCAGTTAAGTTCACATGCGAAAAATTTGAATGCAAAGAGAATAGAAAGCAGACTTGCAGTCTATATGTTGGACCCAGATATTTCAAATGCTTTAGCTGCCAAATATATTGCAGTTCCACTTATGTTCCCTATACACCAAATATCTGTCAAAGACTTTGCAGGTGAAGTTGGAAACCAAAGTGCTGACCCAGGTGCAAGAACAGATATTGCTTTAACAACTGCAATGAAACATGCAGATACTATGTTGTACTGTTCAGACGAACTATAAATGACTATTCTTGTTTCTACAACCCTGGTATTAAATCATATAAACATAGATGGCAAATTATTATCCAAGAGAAGAATATTCTACAGTTGAGGATATGAGGTCATACAACTTGACATTAGATGCTATGAACTTTAACAACAACTTCACAACAACCATTAACCCTGAAATGCAAAGTTCTATTATGCCATATGTGAAAGTATGGACTCATACAGGAGGTCACAAAAACTCAATATACAAATGGAGACCGTTCAAACTTTTGGCTTGGCATTCCATTTGCTGACTCAGAAGACTTTATGGGTGGTATTTCAACTGTTGGTACTGTACAAATACAATACTGGTGACAGAGACGGTCCAGATGAATGAAAGCAAAGAAGTTTACAAAACCAATAGCACTTTTCACGGAAGATGCTCTTTTGAAGATTCGTTCGATGAAACCTGCTGGAGCTCCTCAGATTGGCATAACGACAGCTTCCATCGAGCAGATTTTGGCAGCAGGTCAGTAAGTTGTTCTTGAACTGACTTCTCTCGTCAATATTGACAGTACGCCAGTTTTGACATAATATTGTATAAAACTTTCCTTTAGTAATATCTGTAAGTTTTGAAGTTATATTTTTGTCTGCTTCAAGAACTTTCACCATTTCAGTTATACCAACTTTCTTTGCTTTATGGAAATATTTTGGTTCAGCAAATATTGCTATTCTATAACATTTACCATTGTTTGTATAAAGAACTATTCTGTCAATGTATTTGTATTGTTTGTGTGTGTAAACTTTGTTCTGCTTCAATTCGAAGAGATACTCGAATACGTCCATCTTTTTATTCTAAGTAAAATGTCATTTCCGAAAAATAGAAGCGTAAGTGTTTCAAAAGGTTTAATGGCAGTGGCAGATGTGAAGTTAAATTCACCAACTCAAACAAACAGTCAAAGTGTTGTTGTCAATGTCAAAGACAGAGATGTTGAAGTGGGGAAACCATACGAAGACGAAGATGGTATAACAATTGTTCCGTTCCTGTAAAAGAACAACCAACATACCCTGAAGTTAGCAGAGACTTAAGTTCTGTTGCAGATATTCGAAACGACTACCAACAACTGAAAGACAAACTTCAAACTCAGGAGA